GGCGGGCGCGGCGGTGGCGGCGGCGGTGGCGGTGGCGCCCTCCCCCCTCTGACGTCATGTCACGCGCCCTGTCCACGCGCAATTTTTTTATATCATCTTCGTTATTTAGCTTTTCGTAATTATTTATTACGATGTTGAAGGCATCAATCGTCGATTCAATTGCACGCTGTTTACTCACAGTAAATAGATCGTACCCACAATTGACGTTGTTTGCCTTTTCCTTCGCTTCTTACAACTTTATACAGTGCATACAAGAGCAAAATTTTTCGACGCAATGTTTTTTCAAAAGGACAACTTTGTTTAAATTTTTGTAAGACGAAAATTGCTAATAATATGTCCTCATCTAAATCCATTTTGTCCGCTACAAAAAAATAACGTTTTATCACAATAACAATAATCGATTGACAAATCTATAAACGATAAACAATTGATAACAATTCCGATATGAAATTGATATGAATTTTAGTTTACCGAATTGATTTTAGATTTGTTTCTTTCTGTCGTTTTACGTACGCATCAATTTTGTTCTACTGTCTCATGCAGCGGACAACATAAAATATTATTTTGCAAACAGAACTAACAAAACAATTCTGTAATTGGCGATCCGCTAATTCGCTTACGCGTAATCCGCTGCATGGGACAGTAGAACAAAATTGACGCATACGTAAAATGGTGGAATGTCAGCGATTGGTCGGAGCTTTGATACGCGAATACGTGCGTATCGAGATACGCGTCATTAGACGGCACCTTCAGGTGGTGTCCCATGGCCTTGAAATCCACAGCGGAATGGAACGCGCAAACCAATCACAGCGAAAGAATCAAAAGAAAACTCATTCATTCTGTTCATTCTTCGCCTCAAGCGTTGTTGTGTGGAAAGTTGACGGCGCAGCGCACAAGTTTTAAATCGTGTCGCGGTTAATTCTGTTATTATTAAAAAGTGTTCTTGTAAAAGAGTGTTCTCATGTTATTTTAAATAATAAAGCTAATAATAATAATGTTCCTACGTTTCTTAAAATCTGTTTCCTCCTTCCTTGCTGCGCGGTTATGCGTGTGCCCGCCGCGAGCGCGACGATATAAATATAAATTATAATAATCACACAAAAATATTACAGTAATTATACGTTACTATATTTTTTGTATTACAATAATTACATGTGTGTGATTCAATCTATAGCTCGTTATCATCAACATGTAATCTTTCTATTACATTTGTCGACTATAGTATTTGTAACTAGTAGAGTACTTGTTAAAGTAGACGTGATTTGTCATGTGTAGTAATTTCACGCGGGATTACAATAACCACATGGATTACAATATCTGGTCAATGATTCTTTTTCGTAAAAGTTATCTCTCGCTGTGTGACACACATTTTATTGTTTTTTACAATTTACCCTATATGCTATTGGGTAGATTGCGAAAATATAATGCAAAATTAATACACAATTAATACATAATTAATAAAATTAATGAATTGGATTTCAAAACGCAGCTGCAATGCGCTCTAATACATTTTATTAATTAATCATTTATATTAATTGAATTCGCAATATGCACAAAAAGTCTTTCGTATTCTGTATAACTTAAAGAAGCTTAAGGAATTAAGTTTAACGTAAAAATAATCCCAATACGATACAACACAGTATAATATGTTAAAAACATATTATTAATGTAAAAATATTAAGAGATTGTAATACACATTAGTTAATTTAAATTTTAGGAGAATTCAGTGGATGAATAAATTACTATTAAAAATTAAAAGATACATATATATTGATATTATACATTTAGTTATGTTTATAATAAACATAACTTTATATACACTTCACAGTATACTCCTACCATTTTCACTGTAAGAAACATATTCTCAATTTTTTTAAAACAATTTTCTTTTTAATCGTTTTTTTAATATCTTTCTTTTTTTAATATTTCTTAAAATTTATTATATATTTTTGAAAGACAGATTTGAGAAGAAAAAAATGAATTTTTTTAGAAACATAGAATTAACTTTATCATTTTGTTTTTAATATCTGCAAAAAAGGGGGAAAAGGGGAAAAAGAAAAAAAGAGGAAAAGAAAGAAAATATATCCCAAATAATATTCTTTTATTATTCAAATCCCGTAAATGCAAAAAAAACGGTATATTTTGGCACAATAATTCTGTTCACATAGATTGTAAAAACATCAACAATATGCGCCAACGAAAGAAAAAATTTTCAGCGAATTTGCTGCCGCCAAGCTATTTTATCTCAAACACCGTCGTTGATATAAAATAAAACGGCGCGTGAGTCCAGTCGTGATCGGTCTTATATAGTAGTTCGGCAGCAAAAGCTAAGTGCGAGAAAGTGTGAGATTCGCGCCTTCATGTGGCGGTGTGAACTAGGCCCAGTAGGCCGGCGCGGTGCGACGCGGTCGTATACATGAGTGGCCGCCACAAAGAAAAATGAAATATTTCACGTGAAATTTCATGATCGACCCTCTGGTCATTGTATTTGTCTTGATATCAGAAATGTAAATAAAAAAACATATAATTAAAAAAACAGATTTAACTTTTATTATGCCTTCTCTATGCCTTTATGCTTCCATTTAAAATAAAATTATTGATATCACATTATGTATTTTCGAAACCAAGCAACTTTTCTTTGATACTTTTCTTTCTATTGTTAAAAATAAGCAAATTGTTCAGATGGCCTGCTTTAGAAGCCTCACTCTATAAATATGTTGGATTATTTACAAAAATAATAATTGTAAAAAATTGAAATTTTAATATATAATATTACATAATATAAGTATAATAAATATAATATATATAATACAAATATACATACTTATTTATGGAGCATTTGTATTATAAATAACTTATAAATAATTTTATAAGTAATCATTTAATAACTTATTATTCAAATATTATGCTAAAGACATAAATTTATATGAATAATCGATAATATCGATACTGTTCAACTATTTTCAGACCTACCAAATCTTGATTGATTTAAAAAATTTGTCCAGGTTTGACGGTGTTTAATAGATCTCGTAACGAAATCGTTAGTATAATAATGAATATCAAAATTGATCGACATAATCATCGAAATGTAACCTTTATCATTGTCGACAGAATGTTGAAATCCTTTAATTTCCTTTGGCACCTCTTTGCGCTCCAAAATACGATGCGTAATGTTAGCTCCGGAATAATAACTTGATCTCATAAAAGACGCATGGCCTCATCGCACATAACGGAACCAGTGTTGCTATCAGGACGCTTTCTCGCGCATGCGTAGATGCAGATTCATTGAAGTATCACGTTTAGAAGAAAAAGGGTATTACTTAGTCTTTTACTGAAATTTTTTATATTATATAAAATTGTTTATAATTATATACAATTGTATAAAATATAAAAATTATAAAAATATATTTATTATTTTAATTTTTAATTATATAAATTATAAAAATTATATAAAAATTATTTAATTATATAGAATTTTAAATATAATTAATATTAATAATCTACAATAACATTAATTTTTTAACAAAGTTATATTTTTGTAAATATTTTGCCTTGTAAGGAAAGAAAGTATATACAGTATAATGAAATACATTTATGTGTTTAAAATAAAATATTCTATTTGAAAATTACGAGCATGTTTTTTAATAATTTCCTTTTTATGTATATCCATATTATGTTTATGTTTAATAACAAATAACAAATAATAAATAATAACATTTATCTTTAATAACAATTAATAATATTTAAATACTTACTTTACTTAACCTATCTCATCCTAGAGTGGAACCCGCCAAAATTTTAACGCCTATTATACATGTATGTCATGTTACAGTCCTAAATAATGACTATTGGTCATAATACGCATGCGCAAGAAAGCGGCCTTAATAGCAACACTGAACGGAACGGGAATTATCAAAAATGTTGATGGAGATCAGTTACACGAATAAGACATAAAGGAAGTTGCCGCACGATATGGATCTATCGTAACAGATAACTAGATGCAAGCACCAACCCTTTCGCAACGTAATCCAAACCGCTTTAATGGCGTGGTTAATCACCTACGAGGAAACGCCAGGCGATAAACTAAACAGCTGTACATAAAGTAGGAATGGATATGTGGTATGTTTTCTTAAAATTATTAATAAATTTTTGATAGTACGTGTTTAGTACTATCGTATAAATTCATTTATTCCGTAATTATCTTCGTTTATATGTTAATTTGCATTTGCAATGAAAATGTACAGGATATATTAATAATCCTTTTTTTCTTCCAGGTTCTGTTTACTGTAGCACAAAATGTGACGCTTAAGTTATTGCTAATTAAAAGCATTACGATATGCAAGATGGAGAAAATTATACCAATGAGTTGGTTGAACCAAATATTATTAGTTTTTAGTATAGTAGCTGCAATACTGTCTTTAGTTATACAAGGGTGGATAAGTCTCACGCCTCTACCAATATATGTTTCTATCTCTTGGGCTGTATTTATCACAATTATATCTATATGGTTGAGTTGTTGCTTGCTGCGTCTCACATTGAAAGCCAACAGTCCAATCATGTTAAAGTTTATGAATAATTGGATATATAAGAAACTGATAGGTGATCTGAGTTTAGATTCTTCAGAAGACAAAGATGAAGATATAAAGATCACTTGTAAAAATAATAGTGACAGCCCAAACAGCTTGAACTCTGTACAAAAAGATAGTGCCAAGTGTGAAAACAATGTTACATCATCTGATATATGCAAGAACAAAATTCCTTTGGCTAAAAGAAAAAAGCTGAGTATAACAAACATGACGCGAGAGATTAATGCAAAGTGTATAGCAATTTGGTATAAGAATATAAGTAATGATAAATCATTCCCTGATGAGGCACAAGACTTGTTGAGCAAGTTTTTGACCAGGATTATCTGGAAAGCCAATCTGATAGATAAGATAAAACTTATTAATAAGTTGGCAAACGTATTACTGTTACACTTAAAGGAATATCGTAGGTATGGATGAGATTATTGAGAATTATTTGTTAGACTGACAAAATTCATTACTTATATCTATTTCATAGAGCATTACGCAGAGTTGAGAAGGGTACTGCAGTTAGTGTGGAGGAGGCATATAAATACTTACATCCAGGTTCTCGCAATGCATCAACGTTGGAGCATATGTTACATCGTTTAGTTACTGTTTTGGCACAAGAGTTTTTACAATGGGAACTCACTAGTTCGTTACCGTGCAAACTTTTATTGTCTATTTTAGCAAAGAGACTATTAATAACAATAGATACAATAAGCTGTCCAAATTGGTTGATCGAAAACTTAATGAGATTATTGGAAGCTCCAGCAAATAAAAATGTCATTATTCCAGTTAAAGAAAACGTCAATGTAAATAATAACAATGACAGTATTACATGATAATCATACATGATAATAACAATGCATTGATTTCTTTCAGGGTACCATAACTGTTGCTTTGAGCGATGGTATCACATCCGCGACAGCGGCAGTGATCCCGCAGCAATTGCCAAAATCTGTGCCCAAGTCTAGTCCAACTGCAACTATTACAAATAAAGAAGAAGAAAATGCAGCTATAATGGCAGCTCCAAAAAGACCAACTCTGTGTCTGGAAGGTCTCTCTACTGAGCACCGAGGCCTGTGGGGAGACAGCATAACGGATACAGATTTAGAATTAGATGAAGATAAGATATCACCGGTATACGAAGAGCCAACGGATTTCGCTACGACTATCGCTAGGCTTAGAAATCTATTACAACAGAAATCTACAGCAACCACACCATTGTTAGTAAAGACGACGTTTAGTCTCAGGCACGTCATTATATGGACCTGTAAATTTCAGACACGCTGAAGAAAAATCATACGTAATATACGAAGGAAGCCAGTTTACAAATTTGTCAATTCCGTGGACCGAATTTCATACCGCGACAGACGGCTCGCAGCAATTATTCTATTGCATACAATTTGATGATGTCGAACAACGCGGAATGGATTTATTCGAAACAACCACTGCTACTGTCAGAAGGCAATACACTGATTTTGTCCAATTACATCTCAGTTTGGAAGAAGTAAGAAAATAGAAAAAATAATTGATTAAATTCGTATCAAAATAAAAAAATGCTTACCGAATGAATTCAGAGATGGTTCACATGATTCAAATTTAATAATCACACAAATTCTAGATTCCATCATTAGCAAATATTATGTCAGATTTGATATTACCCGAAGGTGGCCGGATTGAATTGGAGATATATTTAAAGACGTTATGTACGCGGTTGGCAAATGAGTGTCCGCCACAACTACGTCATTTTCTTCGACCTAGTAGTAGCGCGAGCAAAAAAGCAGACGCAGTAGCGCCTCGTTTGGACCGATTCTTGGCCAAAACTGTGACTGGTGTCTTTAATACATTGAAAACTGTTGTACCAGGTTTCGAATTGGATCAAGAAGAAGAGGCTCCTCCTCTACCTACTTTAATGCCTTTGTCTGACATACCCTGGAGGTTTGTCGAGGATATAAAGTCGGTAATATATATTTATATAAATTGTAGCATTTGTGTGTGAGCACTCTTAGAAAATTTTATAGAATATAATGTACAAAATGTTAAAATTTTTACTATATATTATATTTTTCTAATATGAAGAATGTTAGCTTTTGAAATTTGCAACTTATTTTAATTTTACTTTTCTTCTGAATTATAAACTCCTATAGTACAAAATTATATAAAATTAATATATAACATACAATATATACAACATATAATATACATAAAAATATATCAATTTTTTCTTTATAGAAAAATTTAGCTTACGAATTGCAACAATTAATCGCGGAAAGAACAGAATACTGTACGGTAGACACAGCTTATGAGGCGGTTGATTCGATGGAAGTTAATGGCGATTCAGAGTTATTGGATTGTTGGTGGGAAACCATTAATATTTCGTATGATGGTAACTACAATGTTGTTTTTTTTATCATTAAAATATAAAATTATATTTTGTAATAAAAACTAAATTATATTTTCTAGATGAAATAGACGAATTAGATTCTAATTTAACACTGACATGCACAATGATAGATTTTATTTGCGAGCTTCTAGCAGGAATCTCCAGTAATAATACATTGCAGCAAGAAGCAGTTGTTAGGTGGACTAAATTACTATTTGGAAACATATCTGAGCCAATTCTGCAGGTGACACTTACGTTTGAGAAAATATTTTATTTTGTCCTAAACTATCTGTTAATTATAAGCTTATTTATAGAAAATGATACTTCAGCTATTCGACAATCTGAGTGATTCCTCCTTCATTTGGGACACATCACGTAATACTACAAGTCAAAACGATATGCAATTGAAAGACAGATTGCTACGTATATTGGAGAAAAAAATATCATATGACGTAAAATTAATATTTGGCGAGGATGACATACACAAAGCTCTGAATTATTTATTGAGTTCATATGAAATAAAAAAAATCAACTTAGACTTAAGTATGCAAATGTTAGACGCACTAGTATCAGAACTGTTAATTTGCTGTAAGACAAATCACAATACCACGAATTGATTCCAATTTCTGTTCAGCTTTTTAAATAGAAGTAATGCTTGATAATTTGCAACATTCGCACATTATTTTATTATCGATGATGATAGGGGGAGTCATTAAGATACATTAAAATATTTATGTAAAAAGAAATTGATATGTGCCATATGTAGAACAAATGTATCGACCGTTTACGTTTTATTATAAAAACCTGACGGATTTTTTTAAATGAAGATTGTACCTGATTATATATTTACAATAAGATATGCCAATATTTTTTTCATTAGAGACTAATGATTCCTTTCAATTGAATGATATGAAACGAATCATTCTTGGGAAAGCACTATATGCATTTCTGGACTTATCGAGTATAGTATTCATATTTAATAATTAAGTTTTTTGTACAAAGGAATTCTATATTCCTGCAAAACATGTATGGTGCATGTTATATAACATACAATCTACAGTCCTATTAAATTACATTCCAAAGATTACAAGGGATGCCATATGTATATCAACATAAATAAATATATACATACATACATACATACATACATACATACATGCATACATACATACATACATACATACATACATACATACATACATACATACATACATACATATACATGGATGTATACACAAGAGCTTAATATTTAATTACATGTTTATTTATATATAAAATAATAAGATTAAACATATTACAATCTAATTAATTTTTCTTGGTTGTGTCGCTCGCAGCATTTTGTTTCTCTAGTTGTGCTCTGAAATTAATTATAATATCTATAAGTCTTATATTACACATTTTGCAGTTTTATTCGAATTCTTACACAAGTATCACACAAGTATAATCTTTAGATATTGAATTTAAGTTTTTAATAATTAAATTTTATATCGTTTTCTTCTCATCCATTTCTCTACGTGGAACTTGTTCAATAAACGAATTGTGACAAAGCATACCTCAATTGTTGATTAAAGTCATCCTCAACATCATCGTCATCCCAGTTATCCTCCCAGACGCTGATATCATCACCGTCCTCATCTTTCGCGGTCCAATCTAATCATTAGATTCACTTTAAAGCACAAACTACCCCTAATTTAATTTCGAAGTTTTCGGCACTAATGAATCAGCGGTTTCGAGGTTATATCGTATAAAGTCAATAATATTAACGAATTGAGACACATACCTTCCGCGGGGAATTCCTCGAACTCGTCGTCTTCCTCGAGCAATCCGAGATCGACTTTCGTCTTATCGTTTTTAATCTCGGTCATGTTTACAGGCTTTTTAAGTAAACGACTTCTTTTGAGGTTATACAACAAATCTGTAATCACAAGCTAAAACGTAAATAAATTTTGAAGAAGGAAAGAGAGAAAGTGAGACAAAGGAGGGATGAGAAAGAGACAGAAAGAGAAAGCGTGTGGAAATGAGAAGTGCACATATATAAGGAGTCTGTTCTTTTTAGTTGAACTAGCTGCACTAGTTCAGAATTTATCTTTCTTCTTCCAGTGTAAGAAAAAAAGATAAACTGTAAACTAGTTCAACCAGTTCAACCAAAAAGAACAGACCTTTGTTTTTTTATTCCTGAACTTCCTGAATTAGTGCAAGAAGTATACAGTGAAACGTTCTTCGTATCGAATAATATTACGTATGTACATACTCGCGCATATGTCAAAAAGGATATGCAAACTAACGGACTACTACTTGAATAGTACTACTAATCCATAGAAACTAAAATTATTTCATTTAAAGGATTTTGTTAATACCAACATTATCTCCTCCATTTTTCGGGAAAGTGTCGTCTAACCAACTGCACATGTGCGAGCTAAGTAGATAACCAATCATGTAACTAATTTTCTGTCACATTTCTTCTTGAGTTTTTTTATAGCGTTTTCTGTCATTTAAATGCTTGACAAACTGACGGGAAGAAACGTCTGACATATAGAAATAAAATAATAAAGAGTTTACTCTGTTAAGTCTTAGTTCACAATAGGTATTTAATCTTTAAGCCGTAAGAAATTGACCAATCATAGTCGATTATTTTTCTCATATTCAATTATGATTGACTAATTTCTTAAAGCTTAAATCGCCTATTGGACCGACACTAAGTGTCGGTCCACAATAGATGATTTAACCTTTAAGAAGTAAGAAATTGACCAATTATAATCGAATATGAAAAGAATAATCGACTATGATTGGTCAATTTCTTACTTCTTAAAGCTTAAATCACCTATTGTGAACTGACACTTCGGCGTGTTAAAGAAAATAAATAGAGGTGTGCAGTGCTGAATGAATATTGAATATTAATTATATTGATTGAATAATGAATAGTTTAGTGTTCAGTGAATAGTGATTAATGAAAGAAAATAAAGTAAACTAAGAACGAAGAGTTATTTTCTCTTTGAAGAATTAAGAAGTTAATTTGTATAAAGATTTATACAGATTTTTATTATAAATTTAGAATATTGAAAATTTAACAAAAATTTCCTTTGAAAATTATTATTTGTTCTTATTCTAAAAATAAATGAACATTATATTTAACATAATTGTAATTG